AAAAAAAAAGGAAGAGGCATCACTGATATCCAAGCGCTATGTGTTTCCCAGATTCAGCAGTTGCGGAGCTACTTCGTAGAAATCCAGAACCGTCACGAAGTCTACCGTGCTGTTTGTGAGGCAGACCAACTACCAGTTGAATTGCGACCTAAAAACTGTAAAGTCGCATCGTGGAAGCTGAAGGAGCTGCATGGCACGCATCCTCATCAGTTGGAACAAGCGCATGTCGACAAAGTGGCGTCGAATACGTGGCTGGTGCGATGTGAACTCTTCTCAGAGACTGAAGGTTTCATGGTAGCCATCCAGGATCGGGTTATTGCGACGAATAACTACCGTAGGTACATATTGCACGAAGAAGTAGAAGACCCGTGTAGAAATAGCAATGCAGTATAAAATAGCAAAATAGACCATTATTGACCACAGATATTTTTTAAGGTTGTGAATTTGGTTCTACGTTTTGATATATCTAGGTAGCCAACATTGATAATTCACTAAGAGCTTTTTTTTTCAGAATTTCTTCATAATGATCCAAAAAACTCATTTAGAATCATTTCCTTTCTCTTAAACTTGTCTCTAAAATAAGCCTAACAAAAATAATATTGCATTCTTGAAATTCTTTGCAGAACAATCAACGATAGATTATTTTCATAGTTGGAGATGCTTAACGTCAAACATCAGACTCAAAGTGGAAATTTTGTACGATATATGAGGAGATGAAAGCATAGAGTTGGTAGTTCTGTTATAGTACGGTAGTGTGAAAATGGTATATAGACAGTAGAAAGCGAGCAAAGGACAATTTTGAGGAAGGTACGAATCGAGTAGAGCATGCGCTTTACCAAACTAATCCGTTAATGAGGTATGGTGAGGTGTGTGTTCCCCCGGCACCACTGGAAAAATGAATGATTACCGATTTGATCATGAACCTCCGATGTGCGGAAACAGTTCTATCGATTGTTTTACACCAAGTCGCCATCTGACGTAAGCATCTACACGATTGCTCTACTCGATTCGCTTCTTCCTCAAAATTGTCCTTTGCTCGCATTCTACTTTCTTTATACAATTTTCACACTGTCGTACTATAACGGAACTATCAACTCTAAACTTTCATCTCCACATCTATCATCCGATTAAAGTCTGATATTTAACGTTAAGCACCTTAAACTATGTAAACCGTGAGCTTCACGCATGAAGTAATAAAACATGATTAGTTAAAGTAGATTATTTTAGATTTTTGATGCTTCTTTCAAGAATTCCCTAACGTTTTGTTCCATAAATCCATTTTAAATTTACTTGAGTTCTCCTGAGAATTCCCATGCAGTTAACCTCAGAAATGACATAATTTTCTCCTTACAATAATCTAGGACCCCTCCCCCTAAATTCTACTGGACATTCAATTCGTATTCTCTTCAGAATTCTCGAAACAAAATTTCATTTCAGAATACCTTTGAAACTCTTCTAAGAACCCTCAAAAATCGATTCCATTGGAACTTTTCACGGTTTTTTTGGAAGCATTCCTAGAAGATTCAGCATTTTGTATTTTAAAAAACAATTTAAATAGCGTTCTCAGAATAAACGGATAGCAATTCTTGGGATCTATGGAATTATGGAATTATGAGAGAGAATTTCCAGAAATTTCTGAGATCATGTCCAAATGGGTATTCTAAGGAGAATGTCAAAGAAAGGGATGGTCCATTAATTATTTCACGCAAATTTTGCCCATTTTCAACCCCCCTCCCCCCTTTGTCACATTTTTTTGTATGAACCTTAATTTTTTTTGTATGGCTCGTCACAGTTTTCAAACCCACCCCCCACTCCCCCCTAAATGTGTGACATAATTAATGGACGACCCCAAATTTGGAACAATACTTACACACTTAAAAATCGTTAGATTTTGCTGAACTTTTTGATTTTTAAGCATGAATTCTCAAGCTTTTCGCTCCAAATGACACTAAATTGTTTTGTCGCAACAATAACAGAGGTAACTCAAATAAACCTCAATTCTTGCAACACTGCATAGCTGTATCGAATCCCTCCCGATAAAGGCAACTAGGTGGCGGATTGAGCTGGGACGGCTGCAATACAAGTTATGGGTAGATACCCCATTCAAGAAGAAGGCTGATCGGACGAAGACCGGTAGTCATCGGAGGAGACTGGAAGCTCTGGCGAAGCTGGAAATTAGGCTGTTCAATAAAGGCACCACGAGGCACTTTTCGCAGAGATGGCCGGGAATCCATTATCGACGTCACTTTATGCGGACTGCAGTCCGTCGCTGGTGGAAAACATGAATTGGAGAGTGTGTGAAGGATATACCCATAGTGACCATCATGCAATCGGAATCCTGTGGCAGTACAGATGACGAGAGCTTGCGACCTTAAGTGGAAGACGAGTTGATAGAATCGTTAGGGAGAGCATGTGACACGACCATGCCGAGGAAACTGAAGCTAAATAACAGACGGCCTCCAGCTTACTGCTGCAACGAGGCAATTAGCACCCTCCGCGCTAGTTGTCTCAAGTGAACCCCACACGGTAAGAAATATTGTCAATACTTACAAGTATTGACAATAATATTGATGATGTGAATACAGAAATATTGTCAATACCGATGTATTGACGTCAATATAAAATGTATTGACAATACGATTATTGTCAATACAAACTGTCGTGTAGGGTTCACTTCAGAGCCATAAGACGTGTTCAGAGAGCAGGAACAGAAGCAGACAGAGAGGAACGTAGAGGAACGTTCCGAGCACAAAACGAGAGACAAAGCAGAGCAAGTCAAACTGTCAACTGGAGCTGGGTCGAGACGCTGCTGCCAACGACGCACACCGTGTCGTGATGACGAACATCAGATGTCAAGTCATGCCCGCTGAAATGTGCTTAGAGAACATGAAAGTCATCGTGGAAGGACTTTTCTCGAAGCACGATCCAACGACCTGGCCACCTACATCGTACGGAGACGGAGAGGGAGATAACGACGAAGTCACCAATGAGCTACTCGTAGCAGTGCCCGCTGGATACACTTTCGGCAAACTCTTGGAGGGGATCATCCTATAAACAGGCTGACGAAATGCACGGAGAGTGAGCAAGGATTGTCGGAGAGGCAGTTCGGATTTCGAAAAGGAAGAGCAAAAGTGGATGCAATTCGAACAGTTGGCGTCGAAACAGAAGTGGAGACGCCGTGATAACGATCGACGTCAAAAATGCGTTCAACAGAACCGGGTTCTGATCTACGAGCCAAATATGGGACAGAGACCGATTAGGATCACGGTGGGAATTCCACAAGGCTCCATCCTTGGTCCAACGCTCTGGAACGTGATTTTAAACGGCGATCTAACGCTGAAGCTAGACGCTGGAATAGATGGAAATGTTGGCGACCGAGGCGGTCGACATGATTGGAAACCTAATGCATGGAGAGAAGCTGCAGATAGCCCACAACAAAAGCGAGGTGGTATTGATCAGTGACTTTAAATCGCTGAAGCGGTCAGAAATTACCGTTGGGGAGCACGCAATAAGCTAGAAGTGCGTGTTGAAATGCTTGGGAGTGATGGCCGACGATCGTTTGGCTTCAACAGCCACGTAGAATACGCCTACGAGAAGGCACCGAAGGCCATCAACGCGGTAGCCAGAATCATACCGAACATCTCGGGACGGCTCCTGGCTAGTGTATTTACGTTGATACTGAGATATGGAGGTTCAGCCTTAGTTGCAGCGCTGAAAACTAAGCGGAATTTAAAGAAACCGAACAGTACGTACCGGCATTTGGTGTACCCTTTGTTGTAAGAATAGTAGACAGTTATCAGTAATTCCATTAATAGTGGATAAATAATGGTTCAGCCTAAATTTTCAGATGGGGCTGACAAAAACGGAAAAGCACTGCATAAATCTCTTTATGAGGCACCTTATTTCTTTCGTTGTTTTTGGCTTAATAATGCTAGATTCTTGATATATATAATTGATAAATATTAAATAAAACTAAACAATAATCAAATAGCCAAAATTTTATTTAAAAAATCATTCGGATATACTGTTTCGGATATGATTATGGTGATATTATTCTACGCCAGGAATGTGTCAAGATTTTTAATTAATTCCGATGCGAATTAACCATGCGATGAAAACAAACACCCAACTTGAAAGATCATAATATATTTATATAAACCTAGTAAAACACATAAACACGATGAAAACGTTCACTTATTGCAAAACAAAATGCTCCAAAATGGCTCCACTACAAAGGCATTTTTTTTTGAGTGATCCCACTCAAGACGCTAGAGGAACCCGTGCTGTATAAATATTGATTTTACACCACTAGAAAACCGAAATTCACACACCAGAGAGCAAATTTCAGTCCGGAAATTGATTATGCTAGTACGCATACACCTTAAACTACTACAATTACGATGAAGACGTTTGTTAATGTCTGGCAGCGCACTCCTCCTACGTATATTTGTATCGAAAGTTAAGTAGTTTCACTTTCATACGCGCTCACACACAGAGACTGTTTCGCACATACGTACATTCACACTCGCCGTATGACCGGTTACGGTAAACTCGTCTTACTTCCGGCTTCGGTCGGTCCACCGCTGTTGCTGGATTCCTCCTCTAGGGTTTTCGGAACGGCACGTTCTCTGTTAGAAAGGGTTTTCATCAAGAAATTCGCATGAAATCACGTTGGTATCGAAACAAAAGTAGAGGTTAACCTATCCCTTTGTGTTTTGTTATTGAAAATGGTGGTTTTCGGGGTTAGTAACTCCACATGCATTCAGTGTGTTTGTGTGAGTAAATATTGTTGTTAATCCGTGTCAGTACTACTGGTTGCAGCGAGGTGTGGTGATTTGAGTAGTGTTTCAAGGTTAGATTCTACTGTATCGATAGTTTTCTTGGGTCGTCTGTAAAATATTGGAATAAATGTGTTGGTTTAGGTTTTAATTGAGGTTAGATGCGGTTAGGTTTGGTTCTCGGATAAGCTGAGATTCGAGGATTATGGCCGGTTTACTTACTTGTACAACACGTAGTGTTGCACGATGAACACAATGTCGAACAGTACGGAGAACAGCCCCAATCCGAACTTGGTTGGATCGCCAAAGATCGATGCCCAATCATCTAAACGAAGGTCAACGATATAGGACCGTCAGCAATCAAAACAAGATAACATCACATCTTACCATAATTATAAGCATTGAGCAACATCTGCAGCATGCTCAGGGTTCCACCGGTGAAATCGAGCAGGATGTTCTCTATACTCCATCCCACCGTACTCTTCCGCCTGAAGTTCAGTACCGCCTGCGGTACATACTTGATCAAAGTGATCGCCAGCTTGATGTAGCTGAGTGCATACAAAAAGTCCAACCAGTGCCAGGTTCCAGTGCCTACCAAAATTCCCGATACAACAATGATCGTCACGAAGACCCCTAGGATACCCTGCGCCGTGTACGATACCCGCTGATCTCCTCTCTGAAACCAATCGCATCGCATTAATCGTCACACTTCACCGACCGTATCAACCGCTCTAAACTCACCTCATAGAGGAAGCACTGTACCACCGTCAAGAACGTCGCCAACGATGCATGCAGTGAGAACGCCACATCGTTCGCAATGATCGGATTCAACCCCCGTGGATTCCTGCTGAAGTACTCCTGCTCTATGTGATTGTTCCAATAGAGGGAACAGTTGAAGATCGCATACAGCGTATGTCCCAGCAGGTTCAAGACCAAAAAATCAAATGACAGTCCTACGACACTTTTTCGCCTAAAGTTAACGATCATCTGTGGCCAGAACGAAATCGTCCACGCCACAAAGTAGATCCATCCGATCACAATCGCCGCGTACATAATCACCCTGGAGTTGGCGATTGTAACCCTAATGAATGCCGCCGCGTCATCAATCAGTCCGGACGGAATGATTCGTCCCACCAGGTCAAACTGACCCGGTGAACGGGCCTGCAGAGCGACCGGAACGGCCCTGTCGATGAACCCACTCGGAGGAGCATCGATCGAGATCAGTGAAGGCGTAACGGTGACGAAGTCCACATCGTTGTCGGTGAAGTTGAACTGGACGTTCTGGGTCAGTTGGCCGCGAAAGCGAACCAGGATTTCTTTGGTTTCATTCACCAGTATGACGATGTCCTGGGGATCGAGCACCACGTTGGCCCCGATCGAGGTTTGACTTCGTACCGAAGTTGCTGGAAAAAAATATGGCACAGTTCAGAAGTGCGTTGTACGAAGGGTTGACAAGTCATACCTGCTAGCAGCACAGTAGAGAGGAGAACAATCGCTATGGATTTCCCCATCGTGTGCTTGACCGTAGATACGGTTGGGTTCACGTAGCACGGCACGAGTAGTTCAAATCAGGTTGTATTGTGTGGACGGAAATGCACTACATTGATGGTTCTGAAAACAATCAACTCTGAAAGATTAGCCGTATCTTCATCGTCAATGTGATGCGCGTATTGTACCCTCTCAATCTCAATCGTTATCGCAAATATATTACGTAGGTATAGATAAGTGACAATTTGAGGGTGCTGTAAATAATTTGGTGATGTGCAAATTGCTGCAATTAATTGCTCGATCTTGACAAACGAAGAAATGCGTACGTCGCTGATTGATGTCAAATGTAATCACTGATCAGTTTGAAAGTGTAAGCCATCCCTTCAAATTGGCGCAGAGTTGATGGTGCCTACGAACATTACAGTTGGACCTTAGATTTAGCTGTCAATTTGCCGTACACTAACGGATGCATGCGTGTGCCTTAACCAGGCATGGAAAATCATTTACATTCATTTCGTGCGTTCATTTACATTCATTTGCTTCTAACTTTTTTCATCAACAGAATTTCGTTAAATGAGATGGAAAACATTTGTAAGTTTTGATATTAACTACATTTTTTGTCAATAACTCAAATCTGTATCTCTTATGCATCACAAACTAAACCGGGCAGAACTGGCAATTGTTTTTCAGTGAATTTACATACACTGAAAAACAATGATGGGTTCTGCTCGCTCTGGTTCATCATGCATAAGATAAACAGATTTGAGTTACTAACCAAAGTTTTAGCTAATATTAGAACCTACAAAAGCTTCACACATAATTTTACGGAATTCTGGTAATGACAAAAGTTAGAGGCAAATGAATGTTAATGAATGAACGAAATGAATTCGAATGATTTTCTATGCCTGGCCTTAAATCTTGGTGGTTCATATCTAATCTAGCAAGTCGACAAATGTGGCATTAAGTGACGTTTAACCTGAAACCAAGCTGATTAATTTTGTCACTTACTACCAGTAAATCTTGCAGATTATCATCTGTAATAGGCGGTCTGTCTGTCGGTCTTTTCAAAAGACAAAATCATGGGCATAGACGCCAACTTAGGACGGGAAACATACCTTTGCTCCCATATAATTTGCGGAATCTCATATCAAATATACACTGAAAACGAATCTTACTCAGAGAGTGAGTCACTTTTACTCATGCGCTTAGTGACCAACACTTTTAGAAATTTCTTCATACGAATGTGAAAAAGTGACTCACTCTCAAAGTTAGTCGTTTGCAATGCACTAAAAAGCTACTGCACACACGGTTTTCCTTTTTTGAACGTGTTCCAAATTATCCTTGGAAAATTTTGACAAATAAGACCTATATAGGCCATGATTTGATCTGGGAAAATGCTCTAATACCTTGATAAAAAATGCAACGTTACTTGGGAAGTGGCCATGGAAAACTATCGTAATCCTGAAATAAATACTACAAAAAATGTTGGGTTAAGGAAAAATGAGAAGACAACAGATTTACTAAACGTGTTCTGTTTATTAGGACTTCGAACATCGCGGAATTAGATTTACTTATTTTCTAGAATTAATTTTAAAGAAACTTAATACTGTTCTGAGCTAAAATAACACACATTTTGTTGAATAAAATATTCAACGTTAAACCAGAGGCTACCATGTTTCACAGTTTTCAATGATGAACTTTTCGAAAACCAAGGGTTATGTCTGTTTTTAGTGACGTAGGACTACGAAATTATTTTGTTAATCCATTCAACCAAAATTTCTAAATGATGAGTGGGAGAGATAGCTCATCGATTCTTCCGGTTCGCCTCCTAGCATCGTGCTCTAAGGTACCAGGCGATAACCAGGGTAGTTGATGACGCTCGATGACGTCATTTCGTTGGCGTCTGCAATGGGAAATTCTCATAGCATGCGTTGACGATGGGACGTTGTCGAGTTGTTGAATAGCAACTATCGTGGTAACTCACCGATTACCTGTCGATCTGCCAAATTTGGAAAGACGTCTGCATTGAATTGTCTCATATAATAATACTCCGCCCACTATATCACAAGAAATTGCGAGTAGCTGAGTGGAATGGAGATAAGTTAAGCATTGAGTACAGGACCAAGTCTCCCCTGGGTGGTGCCAAAAGATGAGCGCAATAGAATCATCAAGTTGCCATAAGGCACGGAATGAGACTATTGCATGGCTGGGTAGTCAAAGTCTTCCATTCGTTAGTCATTTCAGGTGGATTAGAACAGGTTTAGGTGGGCGTTGGCCAGATTTGGATTTTTCAGATGTAATCCTGGATAGGACCCTGTCATTGAACGTCGCGTGAAAGTGGAACTTAATGAAGGCCTAAGTACTTTTTCGTAGTTTTTAGTTTTCGGATTTGAAAGATCGTCGGTTACAGTGGCCTGCTTACTGAGCAGAAAAACGCGGTCCCAGGTCCTTACATATCAAAGAAATTTATGTTAAAATCGCTTGTGTATCGTGTATTTTGCGAAACTCGTTGTTGTCGTTGGTTCCGGGTTTGAATGGATACACAAATTTGAGCAACGGTATTATGTGATATGAGGGGCTCGGTGGCCTTAGAGCAACCGTTTTTGCTTACTGAGCAGAACATCATGAGTCTAATCCACATTCAAGATTCGTCAATCGTTTTATTTGTTAATATGACTACATGGTAATAACAGCAACTCGGTGATTAAAAAGGTGCTCGTCTGCCTAGTGGCAAACGTTTTTGCTTACTGAGCAGAAGACCGTGGGTTTAGTCCCAAGCTTCTTCGCGTTATATGATCGTTAGGGCATCAATTCAGCTTATCGTTTACCAAAACGAACCCTGCTGCAAACCCAAACCTCTTATCCAAAATCCCAGTGATTCCTCGTGGAAGTGCAGAGGTGTTCTCGGCTTCCATCAAAGCGAGTGTCATGTCAACACAATCCTTCCCATTTCTTTCTTGACCTGTGTTCGGGCGCGGCCGGCGCTGGTATTACCTAACTTAAGATCACCAGTTTTTACACATTGAGGATGATTGCTAGTCCCAAGCATCGTCTATTGGTTCTCTGTGTAATTACAGCTGATCTGGCAGTAACAGAGTAGCAACCGTGGGCGGTCAATCAAGCTCAAGCTCAACCAAAATTTCTAAATGATGATACCTAAATGGAATTCCCAAATCAACAAAGCTTCGATTCATATTTTCGATGATATCCAAACATGAAGATTCAACTTATAAAATTCACAGTTCAGGTTAACATATCGTTCGGTTATAGAATAATGATTGTTTTGACGTAGGAATATTTCTTTCGACAACATATTGGGGGTGCAATTTCAAGAAAACCAAAATCGTCCGCGTTACGAAAAGTGGTCAGGATTTGTTTCTGTCACTAGCGTATGGATTTTGATTCTAAACAGGCCTATCAAAAGGAAATTTTTCTACGAATCTGCTAAAATGAACACTTTTTCTATTATCAAAAGGTCGAATGTGCAACGGTTGCTATTATAATTAAAATTATCACCGATTGCCTGCGGAAAGCGCTTTCCCTAACACAAATTCCAACATCGAATTTCATCCGGTCTCGCCGAACGGTGTTTATTCAATCACCGCATGTGGTGAGTGGTGGTGTCCGGTTGTCATCAGCAGCAGTGCTTTCGGCAGTCCAGTCGGTCTCCAGTACACAACGAAAACTCCCCACAATCAGCTAGCTATCAAGGCCTCGATTCACTGAAGAAGGAGGAAGAAGCCGCACCGCTACTGATCGGTTTCAGTTGCTCGTCGTGAGCCGCTGTGGGCTATCTATGCCAAGCGCGTCCAAAAAACATACAGCTCGCCAGTCTCATACGTGTTGAACACCCTAATAGCGCAGCATTACTCAACCATCACGATAAAATGATTCTTTTCAGGACTACCATAAATTATGATTGTTTAATAGTTAATTTTCATTGAACGTTCGCTCGCCTTGCTGCCAGCTACATCACCCACAAAGCTCTTTAATAATGTATCCAGCAACCAAAAATTCTCGCAATGACCGAATACCACAAGACCTTGTCAAGTAACCAGAAGCACTTCTAATTACGGCAAGGTTTTCTCCAGGATGCTTGACAAAATCAAAACAATTTCGAATTTATAATAAATGATCACGAATATCTCGCGAATAGAAAATTTTAGCAACGAGAAAACGAGGCGTTTCCGTGATAGGAAAAAGTGGTTCCCTAGCACAGTCGCCGAATATTGATACCGAGCACGTAATCCTACGTAACATCTACGGTCGAGTCTTGGATACAACCTATTTCACCTAGATAATGGCATTCGCTAACCGAGATGCATTCTATAAATCGGACTAGTCAGTAAAGGTACGGTATTACCCAGCGGTAGGCGGTGGGTACAATTTTCGGTCCAGTCTAGAAAGTCTTTGGGGTTTGGAATTGTCTCGACTTGTTTGAGCAACTTCAACAAAGACAACAACTTTCTATTAGTAATCCTATATACAGAGATAAGCGGAAATATTACCAGACGATTTGGCAACGTGATTTGTTTTGTTTACAAAAACTGCCAACACATGCCGCGGAGCAAAATGTTACAGCTTTGTGCGTGACTTTATCTTTGTCTACGCTGCGAATTTATTTACGTTGTTTAAATCATCCTTAATGATGAACTATTTTTCCTTAAATTTCGAATAACATTTATTGAATATGAAGTGCATTGCCAACATTTGCTCTAGCTGCGGCCTCTCTTATGTTAAGATACGCATTTTACTGAGCAGTAAAATGCGTATCTTAACATAAGAGAGCCCGCAGCTAGAGCAAATGTTGGCACTATAATATTTTTGTTTGTTTATAAACTTTGTTTGAAGTTATTGCAATACATTTCAACTGAAATATTCTGGCAAACGATAAACATGCTTGTTTGGCTCACATGTTGACAGTTCTCACTGCTCGATTGGCTCAATATGGTCGCTTGCGCAAATCTCCATATATAGGATTACTACTTTCTATCTACATAGTCGATCTGTTATGTTAAAGCAAGCAATAAGAAGTCAAACAATACACTAACGCCAGCTGGCAACATTTCTTGTCCATCTGAATAACTTTGCCAAAGGCAACAACATTTCTATCTAGTCAAGCT